ATGGATCAAAGGTCCACTGTCCAATAAAAAATAACGGTATACTTAAAGTTCCGACCCTGTTTTTAACGGCGTTCGCGTGTTTTAGGTATTTTGAGACCTGACCATGGGGGCGTTCTTATTTCAGAAAGGGGGTATTTTGGTAGTAACCTTCAAGTTGTAACAAGTTTTGTAGTCTCATGTCGCAAGTGAACCGAATTGGCTCCGTCAGCATGAGGCAGAAAAACACAAGAGATAGTATATAAGAAATTTAAATTGTTAATTCAAACGTTATCGTACATTTTGTGCATCATCTTGATTAAATTTTTTTTTTAATTTACAAAACGATCAAATATCTGAAAATGAGAAACATGTCTAAAAATGCTTTAAAATTTTTGACCAATCAAATTTAAACTACTGCAATTACATAAAAAATTACGTAATCAAAATTAATCAATTCCTGTAATTTTCTGATATTTCTTTTTGGCTTTTTGTTCTTTCATGGTTATAAAATTTCGATTTGGGAATCATTTCGATTCTGACATGTCAGTTTTTTAACTTTTTGCCATGTTATACATAGATTATAACTTAAGTGTTAATTCCCGGCTCCTGAATTCATCGCGTGTGTTGATCCTCGGCCTCTCCCTCAAAATAAGCAAAGCCTCTAGTGTGAGTAGTTTATGAGTGTTGGCTGTTGTGTCTATAATATCTGTAATATCTGACTTCATCTCAGCAGTACCGCCTACCTCCCTATTACACACTAACAAATGTTGTCCTAATGGAGTCCCCTTTGCGGTGTTCATCGACCCTCGAGGCTAAATACCGGACTGTTTGGCCAACATAGCTGGAGTTACATCCACTAGATGTAAGCTTATACACAACTTTGGATCTCAGTTCACGAGCAAAGGAAGTTTTGAGAGATAGCAAGCATGTTTTCAATTTTCTTGTTGTAAAAATTATTTGTGCCCCGGATATTTGACGAACCTTTGCAGCTAACAGTTGAAATGGACTGCATCGATAGTGTCCCTGACTCTTGTACCCTATAACCACTGGCACAAGAGATAGTGTCCCTGACCCTTGAGCCAATGGTTAAAGGGCCTATTTCTCTCAGCCTCATTTGTGACTTAAGTAGGCGAATGTTACACAGTAGATAAAAATCATCATACCCGTTGGAGATGGATCAACCCTTTCGCTCAACTCCTAGCTTCTCATTATCTGATAAATGAATTAGATGTTAATTAAATTCAGTTCAGGAGACTCCAGGCAGCTAAAAGTTGTTAAAAACCAGTTGATTGTCTTTTTGCAAGACCCTTCCGGTTTCTAGAAACCGGTCGAAGAGCTGTTTTCTTGGCGACCAGGAAGGGTAGCAAATCTTCGCAATTGCCCTCCTGATTCTCGTGTTGCCGAGTAAGGGTTGTAGCTGTACAATCGTTACAACTCGGAGCGTTCTTCTTCGAACTCCGATGTAAACAATTTCGTCGTTCGCTATATCTCTTCTCCGTCTTGTTTTTGTTAGCAAAAATCGTTGTTATTTTTCGCGCTTTTTCAGTAGTCGGGAAATTTCAAGGTCGTGACTCGTCTTTATTTTCGAAAAAATTATTTAACCACTCTACTTCTGAGAGTTTGAGGTTTTCTAGGATTCTTGTTTTGTCAGAAAAAACATCTGCCACCAGTGGCTTTGGCAAATTTCGCCGCATGACCAAGACTGCCATAAATTCCAACTTCAAGTTTCAAAGATTCTTCGGGGAAAGATTGATTTTTATATTAGTTGATTTTGTTTCATTAGGCTCCCAGAGAACATCATTTTGAAATATAAAGGAGTGCACAACTACTCAGGTACAAACAGCTACTTCGGCTATCGATCTGTTCAGATTCTCTCACAGTATCCTTTATATATTTTTTAAATTAATTATATAATTACCAAATACACAACAAACACAACAAACACCGAATACAAAACAAAACAACGAACACCGAATACAAAACAAACAACAAATGTGGGATGAACCATTGAGGATTGAAAAGAGAGGGGGAATGCACTAACAGCAAAGGAACAAAGGAGCACCAGAATTGGGAAGGCAAAAACGTAATAAACTGCACAAGACTAGATGGCCCGACTGACAATCATAGTGGCGTTTCCTCTCATGAGGCACACTGAGAGGCTCTGGAGAAGGCGAACTGGGGCAACACGAGCGTCACGTGAACCAGAACGTCTGGCATCAGCGAGGATAGCAACTGACTTGAGGGTTTTGATAGCTAAAGCGGACCAACACCCGAGCGTTTCGACTGCTAACGGGAAAAAACTGATTCCTTGTTCCTCACAGTTGTTCTCGTGTTTCGAAAATTTGCGGTCCTCAGCAACTTCCAGGGACGCCCCGGGGGTCTCCGCCGCACGAGAGAGAAGAGACAACTGCAGCGGGGATGTCACGGTGACGTCGAAAGCAGCTGGGCGACCAGCGCTCCAAGTAGGGACAAAAATATCGCCGGGTTTGGACCGTTCTCCAGGGATGAGGTTCCGTTGCTCCTTGATGGGGGCTAAAGAGGCAGCCGTGGTAGCATTGAAAATAATGTCCCGTAGTCTGTCGTGACGGGAGATCCGGCCACCACTCCCCCCACAAGCGACAGCGTGGTCCCCGAGGACGTCCAGAATGCCAGACGGACACGCGGGGCACCTACGAGCAGACGCGAACACAGGAAGACCAAGGCGGTATCTGACAGCAGCTTGGAACTCAGCAGGAAGCAGGTGCAGGCCAAGACCTTTAATGGGGACTGCGGTAAGCCAAGCGCCGGCGTAAGGCAGAGAGAGCGACTGAAGACGAGCTTGCTCGCGGGAACCGGGAAGAGACGAGAAGAAAGCGTTGTAGGTGGCCTTATCGAGTTTCTCTTGGAAAGCTTCTTGAGTAAAACCGGGAGTGTTAACGCTTCCAGACTGTTCACGGAAGTCGCTAGAGGCACGCAGGAACTCCGGCGTATCAGTGATGTCGCATTCGGTAAGAAACGAGACCAAATGAGCTGACTGACACGAAGACCCTAGGAAGGCAGGGATGTGTTGGTCACGAGCTTGCCGGACGCCAAGTCCGCCATCTTTGATAGGCAGGGAAGACTGGGACCAGGCAAGATCAGGAACAGGTGAGCCAACTATGACAGAAAGAGCATCGCGGAGGAGTTCATCAAAAACTTGCAGGGAAGCTGCGACAGGCTGAGAGGGCGCCTGAGTGCGAAGAGAGTACGTCAGCTTGGGAGCAGCAAAGCAAGTGCGAGTGATGCCAAGTGAGAGCTGGGGGTCATCAAGAAGAGGTAACTTTTCAAGACATTTGGTGGCTTTCGAGATGCGTTTGTCCAGGACTTTAACTGAGAACTCAGTATCACCAATGGGGGCGCCAAGAAGCTCGAAGCCATTAGACGCTGCTCTCGGGATAGAAACGGGGATGGACGAGAACTCCACAGGGGCCCACAACTCACACTTACTGTGCTTGACTTTGAGGCCGAGATGCAAGCCGTTGGACAGGACTCTAACGTTCTGGCAGCAGTCTGAGGAGTGGGGCACTCAACGGCGTGAACAAAGTGCTCAGGAAACCAGCGCGAAGGACCGGCAGCAGTGCCACTCGGGAAACTTTTAAGATACTTATGAACGAACTCAGATTCGAATTGGTAGGCAAAAGGGGATTCATCCTTGCCAAAAAAGACAGGAGGGTCAGCGGAAGGATGAAGACTGCGAAGGTCCTTAAGCGACTCGTCACTTTTGGACACGAGGCCATCAGAACACAGGGTTTTAGCTGCTCTGCCGAACTGACCGAGGCCTGCTAGCTCTTTGGCTCTGCGGACATTAAAGTCAGGAGAAGGTTTGCTGTTTTTCTTCGTTCGCTCTTTAGGTCTTTTGGTAGCGTTAGACCAGAGGTCCGAAATATTGCCCTCCTTCCAGGACTTGATTCTTTGGCGAATGTCTCTGCAGTTATTAGCGGCGTGAGACTTGCCTCCGCGGCGAGGGGCTTTCAAGATACATTTGGGGAGCATGAGCAACCGAGTCCAGTTTTTCAGATTGTCCGGAGCGGTGGCGCAGTTGTCAAGGGCGTTACCAACAACCTCAGACCACTCGTTACGAAGAGAAATCGGAACGAACCGGACAGTGTCAACTCGGAAAGACATGACGTCAGAAAGATCCGGCACAGCGCTTTCGGCGAGCTCAGCCGAGATCGTCATACTTGACATCGCTTGAGAGAGGCCAGAGCTAACAGGAGCATCCCGAGGAGGAGAACTCGTTAAAGCGACAGAGATAGGACTGGAGACAGGAGACGCGAGAAGGCAAATAGGACCGCGAGAATTCCGGCCTATCGGAACATAACCATCAGGGAACCGGAAAATTTGATCAAGGTTGACCCAGGAGTCAGAGCTTTTATTCCAACCACGAAAGTGAGCAAAAAAGCGATCGTTGTCAACTTTGAGGATAGAAGCATCATAGATACCGGAGGTTAGGTCCGAGATGGCAACAGACGACCCGACTAAGATCTCCGCGGCGTTAACAAATCTGGACAACTGAGTAGGGTCGACAGACGGACCAGGGTTACTTTCAATATCACCAGCGCATAAAAGAAGGAGCATAGAAATGTTATAAAACGACAACTTTGAGTTGAGTTTAAACTTGCGTGACCGCAGTTCTTGTCGTGATTGTGGATCAGGTTTCTCGCGAGCCAGCAGCAGCATGTGTGTAGATCCAACGGGGCTGTGACCGTTCTGCACACGGTTGAAAGCTAAAACCAGAAACACTGTCGAGAAGAAAGAGGCAAACAATTGCATGCCTAACGTAGGAGGGGTCTCATCCAGACGTAGAGATAACGAAGGCGGAAGGGGAGAGCCAGAGTCAAGATCGGGCTACGGGTTCCACACCAGGAGACCAGAAATCCAGTGCGGGGTCCAGACCAGATCGTGGATGGCACGCTACCTGAAGACCAGTGGTCCACTTCGGGCAGGTCAGGAAGTGTGCAACGTCCAGCCAGGTGATCACCAGCACATACTCATCTCAAACTATTTAATAAGTTAATCACAACAAGTTAATCATGGAAGTTAAACAAGTTAATCAACAAGTTAAACAAGGCAAACAAGGAAGTGTGCAACGTCCAGCCAGGTGATCACCAGCACATACTCATCTCAAACTATTTAATAAGTTAATTACAACAAGTTAATAACAAGTTAATCACAACATATCAGTTTCTTAAGTCCAAGCTGTTTCATTTTCTAAAGGTGTTAGAGTGTCTTTATTCAGCAGGGCTGCAGACGGGATCAAGTTTTTCTGACGTTGAGTAAGATCACACATTCATATTTGCCACTGGAACTTTGACTCTCTCTTTCACCCATTGACTCACTTCAAATTGTCGCTGGTTCGCTAAAGTCACCTTACTGATCTGCCTCTTAGTTGCTTCAATGCAATAGGCAAGCCCAGTACAGTACAAAATGACAGCCTTTCCGCTGTTGAACTGTGGATCCGTCGAATATGCCAACGTCGTGAACTTTAGCTCATTTGTCTCGAAGGCCGTGGCAGGTAAACTACTGAGTCAAGAAACTCAATCAAATCTTCACAAAGCTTTCGAGGTCACAATAGTCTTTTGTATCCTCCATAATCCTCGCCACTTATAGCATCGGAATGCTTGTCACTTCACCGTTCTCCTGGTTGTTGCTCTGAGATTCCGCGTTTTTGGGCTCAAGTCTTTTCCAAGATATTCTACGCACTTAAGTTCAACGCAGAACCTTTAATCACAGATATCAGCTAAGCAAGAAACAAGTACGAGAACAGCACAAGTGATGAGAGCGGAAGCGATAAAATGGTAGTTCCAAGAAAGATTCAACAGTCGTTATAAAAAACTTTCTTTTCAGAAAGTTAGTTTTCATTTGAAACGAAATTGAAAACTAACAGCAAATATAAACTACAGCAGCCTAACTTATAGAGAATGAAGTTTAAACTTTGTTTCTTATCCACTTTAATCTATATCTGCTTTTACTGAAGATTCGTCTATTGTAACCTATGGACAAATTTCTTGGAAACAATTTAGATCTATTTAAATTGTGTTTAACTATTGTTATCAAGAAGGAATTTTCGATAAAATGTAAATTTCAATCAGTTTGTTCATCCTGAGGATTTTTGTTATAATCAATCTCAATGACAATTAAGAATATTTCACATAAAGTGTGGCTATAAACGATTACGTCTCAAATGGCATAATTCCCAAATGGCATAAAAATGAAATATTTCCCAAATGGCATAAATTGCATGCAACTGTTGCTTTGGAAAAATTGAGAACAATTTTTTCGTGAACAATGTGAGAAAATTGTCAATTCAAATGTTGGTTGACATTTTATCGTGAAAAACTTGCAGAACTTTATATCAAAAGCAAGAAGCATAAGCTTGCGGTTATTAATAAGCTTCTTGTGGTCAATTTTTTTTCGACAAACCTGTTGCTTAAATTTGTTTGGAAGCAATTGATTCCAAATCTTTTTCTTATGCTTTCGTTCCTGACAAAATGTTAGAGTTAGAAATTGATAGAAAACGTTTAAATTACAATGAAAACTTGAAATTTATGCCATTTGGGAAAAGTTTCCATTTTGATGGCATTTGGGAAAAGTTTCCATTTTTATGCCATTTGGGAATTATGCCATTTGGGAAGTTACCGCTATAAACCATCATGTTAGAAAGACGCCAATCACAGTTGAATTTCATATTATTCAGTTAGATTCAAAGTGATTGTTAATTATTAATAAATTAGAATAAAAAAAGGTTTTAATCAATTTGTCTGGAAGTTTCTGAGTCATAATTTCGATTTAGACGTCTACGTTTTTGAATAAAAACCAAAATTTTCTGGTACTTGATTTTCAATGTCAACCCCTTGATTCTAAACTCATCTTCAAGTCCCGCTTTTCTTTCCTAATATGTATTGCCTCTAGTGTTGATGGTTCATTTTGGTTGTTCGACCTATGTGTAATTTCCCAACTAGCATCCGCGGTATATCCCTCAAGTCTGCCTTGCTGAAGATGGAGGCATGCTGATGAGTCTGCTCTCTTATCTCTCAGTTCTAATGGACAAATGCTGAAGAGTTTTTCCGACATATCTGGAAGTACATCTACTAAAAGACAGTTTATAAATCACTCTTGACTTGAGGTCATCAGAAATTGCTGACTTCAGCGATGGTCAACTAAATTATAGTTTCTTTGTGGAAATCTGCATAAACTTCGTAGCTTGATTTCAAAATTTTGGTTTTGTTATCATTCCCGTATATTCTGTAGATATACTAATTTTGCATGACTTACCCTTGCATCTTGCTATTAGCTATCATTTTCCAATTGAAAGTTTTTTTTAGCAACACAAAAAGAGCAAGCGGTCGTTGCTTGACAATGCCGCGTCGTTTCTTGACAACGCGATTTTTCAAGTAACCGTTTGAATTGTTACTTGTTTTGAGTCTGCTAAAAAACCGGTCCAACTCTAGCCAAAGAAATTTGATAAGCGGATGACTCGAACATACATTTTTAGCTAAATTTCTACGTTATTTTTCGCTTTCATCCCTCATCATCATACCAAGATACTTGAATAAAATGACAGAAAATCTCCAAAAATTTCGAGGAATGTGGTAGAATTTGTCCATTAAAAAGTTCGACGTTTTAAATTTTTGAAGTCATTGGGGTTGGAACATTCTATGCTACTTGCACAGCAACGAGTTCTTCTTGTTCAAATGACAAATTTTTGAAAATTGAAGGTATTATAATTGAAAATTCTACGCGAGGAAAGCCCAATGGCTGAACTGCTCGATGTTTACTAAAAGAAGTGCACTAAAAGAAGTGCAATAAAGGAAAGCGACTTGAAATTTAAATTAATGTTTAGTTAGTATCAAATTGTTGGAAGTAGTCCTTTTGGTCAACAAAGCTGAACTGTTTTAATAAATGATAAGTTGATTACTTTAATAAATAAGTGATTAGTTTTGCAGCAGAAACAATTTTTTAAATTTCAACACGTTAGAACATTCAACACAATAGAAAAGTTATTATTTACTCTAAATATGATGATTTTATTGATGCATTTACTCTATGCTCTAACGTGTTGAATCTGGTTAGCAAAGTCAGCAGAAAAGGCTTAAGGGAAACAGTATCTGACACGTTGAAATACACTTCACATGTTCAAAAAATTTGTGACAAAGCGAATAAGGTGTTTCACATGATCAAACGAAATGTATCTCGTCTATTACCAAACCAGCAAAAACTTCACTTGTATAAGTCAATGGTTTTAATGGTTTGTGTTAATGTAGTACGGCTTGGTGCCCGTCTGAAATCAACTTGAGAAGCATTGAATCGGTGCAGCGAAGAGCTACAAACTGGATCCTAAATTTCTAAGATCTGTACTACAAGGAAAGGCTCAAGAAGTTGAACATACTTCCCATTTCCCTATATCTTCAAGTTATCGATTTAATTTTCTTCTCTCTCCTTACCAATGGCGATTATTTGATAGGCTTAGATCATATCCTGTCATCAACGTGAGCATCATTGTATGCTACCAGGTCGTCTGCTACTGTATACTATAGTTTGAAAAAATGCGGTTGGACATCAGTAGTGTGCTAATTTCTGGCATCGAGTACCAAGACTGTGAAACATGCTACCTACCCTTGTAAACTTTCATTGATTCATTGGACTGAATCTTTGCCTGTTGAAGTTCTTCTGGGCCTACTCCTGTAACAGTTTCGACATCCAAAACACCGGCTCCTGGTGTTTCGACTGTCACAGTAACTCGTGTCGCAATGCTATCCCTCCCTGATTTATGTTTGGGGTTTACACCCTTTTAATCTCAAGTAGATTATAAAGTTTTAACAAAAATAACAAGGATAGCCGGTTACTGTGCAAGTAGCACAGAATGTCCCGACCACAGTCTTAAAAAATACAAAATTGTTTTCTCAAATTGGTGCCGTTCTTCTGCTTGTGATAAAATCTGAACAAAAAAATAGAAATTAGGCATATTTGTTTGTCATAGTAAAATAGGTTAATTGGAAAACAGTTTCTGAAGAAAAATTACTAGGAAAACGAAAAAAATATTGAAAGTTTTTTGAAAATTTTTTTAAAGTTTTTGTCCCAAAATTGCGCTGAAAAACTGCAAAAACTACCTTAACTTGAATAAAATTAAATTTTGACGGCTGAAATTAAGCTTGAATAAGCTATTGCAATTACTAACTACCTTACTAATTAGCTCGAAAACCGCTTTTTCAAACCGGTTTTTTCTCGACACTGAAAATTTGTTTGAAAATTTTTAATGTTCAAATTACGACTGAAAGGGCTTTAATATAATATATCACTCAGCCCTGTCCGATGATTATTTGTGATAGCTAATTTTGCATGGAAAACAAAAAGGAAAAAACCCGAATACAATGTTTCTCACCATTTTAATGGTCGGAACAATAAAATCTTATTCTATTCAATGATTTAACCTATTATAACCAAAAAAATATATAAGAAAATAATATGGCGGTGTGCCTAATATTAACTCCAAGCTGATACTGTTGTAATGCAACGGCTATTGTGTATTGTAAGTAAGGTGTTTTTTCTTCGTCAGAATGTGTCAAAAATCTGGTTAGCAAAAAGTTGACATGCCATAAAGTAGACACATCGTAAGTCAATCAGAGTAGAGAAAAGAAAATAATTCGTTCGTTTGTTTTTTTTTTAAATCTTGATAGTGATTGGCTGACGACTTATCTATTTTATGACATGTCTACTTTTTGACCGGACTACCAAAAATCTAATAATCCTGAAGTTCGCTTTTTCTGATCAATAGAAATCCACAAGATGACTGGTAATCTAAATGCATTGAGTATATATCAAATTTTCTATTCATATCAAGTTTGGGGTATTGCTAAAATATTAATCTAATTTAATTCTCTGGAGTTGGCTGCTTTGCACTGTCGTACCCAATGCCGACCCATTCATATTTGTTGACATCCCGATAGAACAGGACATTTTCGCGTGGCTCATCGGGCATAGGTGCGTCTGGGATTTGTGATACAATGTAGCCCTCGCCT